CTTTTACTTCCTGTAAAATGGGTATAATAGTCCTGGTCTATAAAGTTGAGGTAGGAATTTTAAAATTAAATAATTTAGCCCGGCCGGGCGTGGCTCAGCGGTTGAGCATCAACCTAGGATCCAGGCGATCAGGGTTCGATTCCTGGTCAGGGCACATGCCCGGGTTGCGGGCTCAATTAATGACTCATCATTGATGTTTTTCTCTCTCTCTCCCCCTCTCCTCTCTCTGAAATCAATAAAGATATACTTAAAAAAACAAAAAAATAAATAAAAATAAAATTAAATAATTTATATAAAAGCAAAGCAGACTGCTTGGCTTATAATATGTGTCTAATAATTATATTTTCCCTTGACTCTTTTGTAAATGATAATAGCTAATTTTTAGGTGTCTTTTCTGTGCTACTATGTTTTACATGAGTTAACTAATTTAATCCATATAAAAACTCTATACAATAGAAACTAGAAATATCTGTTACAGATGAGAAAACAGCCAGAGTGGTTTAAACAACTTGCTTAAGATCACACAAGTATAATACTACAGAGCTCAAGTGTGAACCCAGCAGTTCCATCCAATTTCAGAGGTGGTGGAACAGTCATTGACTATATTTTGACCCCATAGTAAGAAATACATTTTACATTGTAATCCAGCACGTGTATGAACTAAAGTGGAAACAAAAGTTTTGCAATTTAATACTTCTCCTTATTATATGTAGTATACTTTGATAGTTTCTCAATTTGATTTTAAAATGTTTTTTACCAACTTACTGATTTAATGATCTAGTCAAAAAGCACACTTTGAAAAACCATTTATCTAAATTACAATTAATCCAACTACTCCTAATCTTCCAGCTACCTCAACCTTTACTAGAAAAACTCTAATGGTTGTCAGTCTAGACTTTTATATTTCACTTAAATTTCAGATAAAGTCCTTAATAGTTAAGATGCTGATCACTCAGGACTCTGCTCTATTCCCCATTGCAATTATGGAAAATCCATCTGTTATCAGGTAAGATTCAAGCAATTTTTTCAATTTCCAAGCATTATTTACCTCTCTTAAAGCTTTTTTTTTTTTTAAATCCTCCTCCAAAGATATATTTTCCATTGCTTTTCAGAGAAGAGTAGAAGGGAGAGAAGGCATCAGTGTGAGAGGCACGCCAATTGGCTGCCTCCCGCAAGCGCCCCAACAGGGGCCAGGGATTGAGTCTGCAACCAAGGTAGGTACCCTTGGCTGGAATTGACCCCGGGATCCTTCAGTCCTGGGGCTGAGGCTCTCATTACTGAGCCAAATCGGCTAGAGCTACTAAAGCTCTTAACACAAGGTCCCTTGTTGGAACTATTTATGCACAGGTCTATCCTTCCCACTAGACTGTCACACCCTAGGGGCAGAAATCATGTTTTATAAACACTCTCCTAGTCCCAAATGAACTGAATCAGAGAACACAGAAGCTGGTATCAAAGAATTCTTGACTCTTCAGTATCAGGTGGGGTATCTGAGACACAAACAAGAGACCGCCACAATACTTACTATCTTATATATTCTTACCTAAACATCAAAAGCATCTTCCCACTGATCAGTATTGCTGGTGGTTTGCCTGGGAAATTTCTCCTCTTGGCTTCTTCTCCTTTCTGCGTTTTCCTATGCAAAGAGAACTTATATTTCTACCTCTGGTAAAAGTTTCTTCATGTAGGTAGACATTCTAATAAAACTAAACTGAAATGGTTTCTGGATGGGTGGATGTACATTAATGTTTTCTCCCGATCTTTCTTACTCTCAATCCTGATCTTTATGAGCCTAGTGTTTATTTCTGTAGGTAGGGTAAAGTATATTTTTGAGTGCAGACTACATGTCAAAAGGTAAATAAATAAAACAAAGAAAAAGCTCTCAACTCAGAACTCTCAGTTGCAAGGCAGGAATTCTTTGAGGGCATGAGGTTGCTTTGAGCTTTTCCGTTAAGCAATACTTCAATTTCCCCACTCTTAGGGAAAGAGTATCCTGGTGTTGTTTTAATCTAACAGATGCTGAGCAGTTAGAAAAAGGGAACAAACAACTGGGGGAAATATTACCACTGTTTATGCTTTTACTAAAAAAGGCTGGTCACCAGCTGTTGAGGGGTTGGGGAAAAGCTAAGGTGGGGACAGGAAATGCTGACTCAGACTGAAGCTAGTTTTCAGCTGTTTTGGGGGAAAGAGTGCCAAAGGAGTATATGATCATATGATCATGGCCAAGATGCAAAGGCAAGATAATATATCCTGTTCACTAATACAGCATGCCTTGCCTTCGGGCAGGCATGGAGCCAGAAATATGAGTCATGAATTGAGCTGTTAGTTGCCTACTGTCATTTCCTCCTTCCTTATTGACTAAAACCGCCTATTATTGGGGGCAGTAATGTCCAAAGAAAGATGACATTTCTTGGCCTCCGTTATAGCTAGCTTAGTTGTCATGCGACTGAGTTCTGGAAGGGCTGTGTGTGGTTTCCAGAAAGACTCTTTAAAGTATGTTGACTCCGCTAGGTTTGCCCATTTTGTCCTTGCTTTTCATGCTGACAGGAATTCAAATGAGGACTGATGGACAAGTGGCTATTTTGGACCATGAGGTGACCTTGAGGATGGAACCATGTTGTGGTGCAGAGGAGCTCTATACTGGTCTTGGACTGCCAACCTCTGGATGGAATACTTTTCTGAGAGAGATACATTTCTTGTTTAACCTTTTGTTGATTTGGGTTTCTGTTAAATTGTAGTCAAGCCCAGTCCTGAGTCACCTCAATAGTTTTTGGCATTCATGTAACAAAGTCTTCTTTTCCTCCCAAGTATGGTTCATTCTGTTACCCAAGTCTATCTTTCTAATAATAGTGTAAAATTGATGAGGCATGTATTATGTCAGAGGGGAACCTAGCCCGGGCCATTGTTGCTAAGTGGTTAGAGAGTCAGCTTGCCCACCGAAGGGTCATGGGTCCGATTCTCAGTCAAGGGCATGTACCTGGGTTACAGGTTCGACCCTTGGCCCTGGTCTGCCTCCCATGGATGTTTCTCTTCTCTCTCCCTTCCCTCCTTCTGTCCCTCCCACTCTCTCTAAAAATCAATGGAAAAAATATTCTCAGGTGAGGATTAACAAACAAAACAACTCAGACTTCTTTCAAGTTGCCTCCAGAATACTACTGCTACATTACAAAGTGAATTACAACTCATTATAACATACACTAACAGAGCTGAATTCTCAGAGGAGCAGAGGCAGCGGCTGGAGCAGCCCGCCAGCCAGCCCCGCCAGGAGTCTCTTTCCCCTTTCCTCCCCCAACCCCTCCTCCTCTGCCTGTGGGGGGGGGGGGCCTCGCCTCCCGCCCTTTCCCGGCCTGCCCGCTCCCATTTCCCCCTCAGTCGCCTCACGCCTGCAGTTTTTGGCTTCCATCACCCCCTCCACCAGTGACCAAGACTTGACCATTCAAAGTCCAGCTCCCCAGAATACTGCTGGACATGGCCACCGGTGTGATTGAAGGTGGAGTAAATGTCACTCTCACCATCCGGCTACTTATGCATGGCAAGAAAGTTGGCAGGATCATTGGAAAGGAGAATCAGTTAAAAAGATGCGCGAGGAGAATGGTGCAGGTATCAACATCTCAGAAGGGAATTGCCCTGAGAGAATTCTCACTTTGGCTGGACCCACTAATGCCATCTTCAAAGCCTTGCTATGATCATTGACAAACTGGAAGAGGACATCAGCAGCTCTATGACCAGCTGCCAGTAGACCCCCAGTCTCCCTGAGACTGGTGGTCCCTGCTAGTCAGTGTGGCTCTCATTGGGAAAGGTGGTTGCGAGATCAAGGAAATATGAGAGTGTACAGGGGCTCAGGTCCAGGTGGCAGGGGATATGCTCCCCAAGTCAACTGAGGGGGCCATCACTATTGCCGGCATTCTGCAATCCATCACTGAGTGTGTGAAACAGATCTGTGTGGTCATGTTGGAGACTCTCCCAGTCCCCCCGAAGGGCGTGACCATCCTGTACCTGCCCAAGCCATCCAGTTCTGTCATCTTTGCAGGTGGTCAGGCCTATATCATTCAAGGACAGTATGCCATTCCACAGCCAGATTTGACCAAGGTGCACCAATTGGCAATGCAACAGTCTCATTTTCCCATGACACATGGCAACACCGGATTCAGGGGCATTGAATCCAGCTCTCCAGAGGAGAAAGGCTATTGGGCAGGCTTGGATGCATCTGCTCAGACTACTTCTCATGAACTCACCATTCCAAATGATTTAATTGGCTGCATAATCGGGCGTTAAGGGGACCAAATCTATGAGATCCGTCAGATGTCTGGGGTGCAGATCAAAATTGTGAACCCAGTGGAAGGATCTACTGATAGGCAGGTTATCATCACTGGATCTGCTGCCAGCATTAGCCTGGCTCAATATCTAATCAATGTCAGGCTTTCTTTGGAGAGGGGTGGCATGGGGAGCAGCTAAAACAATGCAGATTCATCCATAATCCCTTTCTGTTGTTCACCACTACCCATGATCCATCTGTGTAGTTTCTGAACAGTCAGTGATTCCAGGTTGTAAATAGTTTGTAAATTTTCAGTTTCTACACACTTTATCATCCACTCGTGATTTTTTAATTAAAGCGTTTTAATTCCTTTCTCTGTTCAGCTGTTAATGCTAAGATCCATATTTAATTTTATAAGCTTCTCCCTCTTTTTTTGGCTCATGAATTTTTTGTTTGTCATAGAAATGTAAGAGTGGAATATTAACACATTTCAGTTTAGTTCTGTAACGTCAGGAATTTTTCAAAAAAATTAAAAAACGGACTGGAGCTTTTTCTTTGTGAATACAAAAAAAAAAAGCTGAATTCTCAAAAAGGCTAAGACACATTTTGAATACGCAATTATAAAATGAATGTGTTACTGTTTTAAAAGCACAACAGACTTGAAAATTAATGTAAGATTGACAAAGTCTTTAAAATGAAAAGGCAGAGGTAGGAGTTTTTTCATTACAATGCAGGTAAAATTGAATACGGTGGATTCAACATAAAAGTTTTAATAAGGCAGATGTCAAGCAAGCATATTGACTTCTTAAAAAACAAAACAAAACAAAAAATAAAAGTTTAATTACAAAGACATTTGTACAGAAAACTTGGCATTTCAACAGTTCAAAACATATGTATACATATTTTTTCTAAAATTTAATATTAGAAATAAAACACTTTGCTCACTTTCCTCAGCTGCCCCCTGTGTTTTAATAAAGAGAAATCTGTAACACTGAATAGGCAACAACTTATTTCTTGAGAAGAACATAAATGCAGAAATATCTGTAGTTATTGGAAAAGATGAATTAGGTATCGTGTTAGCCTGTAACCTCATTTGCTACCTCCTGGTTGGGCACAGAGGTGAGAGGAAGCAACAAAGACTTGCTTTACAGGACCTGATGGTATTAGGGCAGTTGAATCCCAGCCACCAGTGAATCAGGTGTGTAGCTGCTGGGAGGGCCAGCATTTCAAAAGCAGACTGCTTACTTTGTGAAAATGATTTCAAACTGAAGGGTCTTTCAAGATCTTGTGCATTCCTAAATATGCAGGTGTTTCAAGTCAATGTCAGGTGTCCTATCTAGCTAGAGTTAGGAGAATGATGATCTCTGGACTAAGTTATAGCCTTTCCTGGTCAACAGAAATCTAACATAACTGCATAAAACTAGCACAAGGGAGAAACAAGAGAAATATCAGGAGGAAGGAAGAAAAAGCAGAAAGTTTCTGGCAGAAGGCAGACACAAATGTCCAGAACTGGCTTGGATGTCCTTCTGCTATAGACAGTGTGTTCTAGGATGGATTTAGCAGGCAAGGAGTCTTAGAGAAATGACAGAACCAGCAGTGACAGGTGAGAGCCAAACAGGAAAATACAGAAAAAACAGGTGAGTTGGCTAGGTTTATAGCAATAAGCAATAGATAATGATGAGCTCTTATTCTAAAATATTGCCAAGTAGTGATAGGTGGGCTTCAGTGCATGGAAATTTGAGGTGTGCTCCTATGAGACATTAAAAAAGGCTATCCCTCCACCCACTTTGGGCTCTTGAAGAAATCAGGTAAGGAGATGCTGGGAAGACAGGATGGTGCAGCATTGTGACAAGGGGGTTTCTGGCTTGCACCCTGACTTGTGAGCATGTTGTGAGGAAGCCACACTTCCACACCTGCTTTAGTGGCGTGGTGCCTGGACAATGGGTTCAGCATGCTTGGCCTTGGTTCCAAAGATAAGAGCTGCAACTGTCAGTCTTGTGCTGTAGAGCATCAAGACAAAACCAAACCCTTAGGAGAGAATCAGAAATCCCTCTTCCCTTTTGGTGTTTAAAAAAAAAATCACTTACTAAAGTAGGGAGAAGGAAGAAAAGTCTGTCCTTTTGAAATAGATTTTACAGTATGGCTATAGAAGACAAAGGACATGAGAATTCCTCTGTGTCCTTTCTTGTCAGCTCAAGTGACTACTGTGATGACATCTCTACCTATCCACATCCATGAATCAGTGTACCTAAAACAGACATGGTCAGATTTTATGTATGATAAATTCTGTGTTTTTTCAATGCCAAATGAGAAACTACTTTTCCTGTTCTCATCTATTTACCAATGACCTTTTCCTCAGCAAAAAATGCTCCACAAGACATTGCCAACAGATGGAAAGAGAAAAACTTGCTGGGGCTGGAATGCAGGGTACGTGCAGGAGCAAAACTCAGAAAATGGCAGGCAGTACTGAGGAGGAAGGAAAGCATATTCTCACGATAGCAATCACGAAGCCTCCGCAAGGGCTGGCAGTGAAGGCTGGCACCTAGTGCGCACTGTGTGGAATAGGAAACAGCCTTCTCCATAGAACACAGTCAACAAGTAGCTCCTTTCTTTGGAGACACAGCAGGACAAAGATGGCAGAAGACTGGGCCTGTCCAATAAGAGAAACTCTCCTTCAGAACCCTGCTGAGCAACAAAACCCAGAGGTCAGAAAGTGGAGACGTGTAACTTGGTGGGGGTGAAGGGAATAAAAAGATAACCACCAAAGGAATTAAAAAAGTGACAGATAGATAAGAAAACCAGAGCTCCACTGATAAAAGGGTTCAATTTGAAGTAGAACAATGAGAAGGCTTCCTTTATGCTGCAGAAGATGACAGGAGAATATATGCAGACCCACTTTAATGGAAAAGCAGAGGAGAGAAAACTGAAGACTTGGGAGAATGGCTGCACAGTTTCAAAGCTTTGTAAAGAGGATTCCGTAGGACGTTCATAAACATGTTCTTTTTGCTGCTCCCTCGTATGGCTTCCTGGGTGAAGGCATTTAACTCATTGCTGGTAGTTCCTTCACAAGCAGAGTCATTAATACTCCTCTGCCTCCACTCAGTTCAAATTTCCACAGATGGCTTCTCATTCCTCACATCTTGGAGCTCTAAGACCTGTAGGGGAGAGGGGGAGAGAGAGAGGGTAGGGCAGGGGGGGAGGGAGACAACGGGGATGAAGGAAAATTGTTCAGCTGAACACAGATAAGCAACTATCAGGGACAAATCTGATGATAGAAAATTAGTACTCTATTTTAGGTCCAAAGAATAGATGGTCAGTCAAAATCCATTTTCAAGTATAAATCTAAGGATCTCTGCATGTATAGGAATGTATTATGTGCATATGATCAATAAATCTTGTTACAATGATAAAAATGCAATCACTTCAGTTTTTTTTCAACCCTCAAACAGCCATATATTTAACATTCAGTTCAACTGAAATCAAGCAACATGTGGACTTTGATAGTTTATATATAAAATTAGTCACCTCTCAACATGAAATCACCCCCAAGGCTTCCTCCCAGAGTCAATTTTTTCTAGGTACAAGTTAGCCAAAAAGATGCCAGCTGGAGTAATTCTTCCATTGTAAATCTATAAAAATAATTTTTAAATCAGCTGACCAAATTTTATAACATTATAATTACTGGATTGTAAATTTTTTTCTATTTACCTCTTATTTATCTTAATGCTTTCATTCTAAAAATTTTTAGTGCTTTCCCCTTACACTCACTCCCACCTCCTTATAGCAATGTTTTTGAAACTCCACTGATCCATAGTTTTGATATAAGTGTTCTAGACCAGGATTCTGCAGTCATCTACACAGGTATTTTCAGGTAAGACATTTCACCTCTTTGGAACTTAGTTTCTTCATATGTAAAATACTGGAATTTCTAAAGGTCCCTTCTAGCGCTAGTATGCTCCTCTAAAACAGGAGACCATTAGCTTCCCTTCACTCACTGGCACCTGATAGTGGCACCACAAATGCTGAGGACATCAGGTCTAGGTGTTTGTACAAATCTGTATAATGAGGCCAAGCTAGTATTAATCACAGTCTTTATAACTGTTTTGAGGGTCTGGGGAACCATCCTGTTTTAGTTATGACTGCATGGCTAGATTGTAAGGATCTGCAGTAATAAAATGATTCACATTTTCAGGTATTATTTTTTTCAGGGGCAAAATATTTGGAGTTTAAAATCAAGAATAATGGTAACATTCTAGGTTTTCAAAGATACTTCAGCCCTGGCTGGTGTGGCTAAGTGGCTGAGCGCCATCCTGTGCACCAAAAGGATGACAGTCTCAGGTGGGGTTTGTGAGGGAGACAGCCGATCGATGTTTCTCTCCTCTCCCCACCCTCTCTTCCACTCTCTCTCTCTCTAAAAAAAACAGAACAAAAACATATTTAAAAAAGAAAAGACACTTCAGAAAACAGATACTATAGTTTATATCCCTAAGATTAGTAAGCATTAGGACCATCTTATTGGCAAAACGCTCAAAACCGAAAACCACTTTTGGCTCAAAACTTGCAATAACTGCCCTATACCTACATAAGGCGACACCATGTTATCAGTTATTGTGTTCTTTCACAATCTTCTACACTGTTTCTCCTAGCTCTCTCATTTCAAGACTACAAGAGTGCTAACTGAAACCACTGTGTGAAAATCAGAAAGATGAGCTCCTCAAAATCCCAGGCCTAGATTTACAAGCTGTTCCCTTCATAAAGAGCAGCAGTAATGCCAGTGCTTTATTCTGCAGGGAGTACAGCAATATCTTATAAGTATAGTCCCTTCTATCTGACTATTCACTAGAAAAACAGTACTCCTTTCTCCCTCAGAGTATGGTCTTGTGAGTTGTCTTGTACTGTTACCAAACAAGGGTATGGCCAAGAAGGATAAAGACTACTGCTTCTGTCTCTGCTAGCAGATGTTGCCTAATTAGATAAAGAACCATGGGCTTTACTTATTCATATACATGTTGCTCAAGGTCTAAACCATGCTACAACATGAATATGTATATGAGTGTGCTCACATACCTGCAGAACAAATAAATGAAATATTGAAACCCACGACTGGCCATTCTAAGGAGCACATCCTGTTGCTCACTCTTGTTTTAGTATCCACACATGATCACCACATGATATGGACCAATACTAGGATTTTCACACAGTTTATATGTGTTCCATAGGCATGGAACAATTTAATTGATAAAGGGCTGTCAATTGTGGGATGGCATACTAAAGGGATTTTAGTGAACAAATACAAGTTCTATTTAAAAAATGATACCTGATGACTATTAGTACCAAAATGTTTACATGGGCAGATTCCTTTTGGAAATGTACTTTTTGTCTTCTCTGAAAGGACATAACACATACCACTAGTAATTTGTTGACTAAATATATTCTTTATCCTCACCCGAAGATATGTTTATTGATTTTTTAGAGAGAGAGGAAGGAAAAGAGAGAGAGAAAAACATTCATGTGAGAGTGAAACATTAATCGGTTGCTTCCTGTATGCACAGGGGATTGAACCCCGCAACCTAGGTATGAGCCCTGACTCTGGAATCAAACTGGCAACCTTTTGGTGTATGTGATGATGCTCCAACCAACTGGGCCACCCAGACAAGGCTGTTAAATATGTTTTTTAAAAGCTAATTTTCTCTCTCCTCTCTTTTTTGCTTATTGAGAGTTTATTTTTAATCCACTTAATCAAGGCACTAACTGTTTCACTGTTAGTCCACATTAACATTAAACATATAACAGTTACTCCATTATTCAATGGTGAATAAAAAGCTTCTTATTTATGTAGGTTTACATACATACAATGTCTCATTGACTATTAAATATAAATTACCATTAATATTTTCCAGGGAAAAGGAAGCCTAAAAATTAAGAGATATTTATTTTGTTTTTGTATTTAAGTACTGTTTGGGGGGTGATTTCGTCAGTTTCTTACTCATTCTTCAAAACTCTTTGGGAAGCTAGCACACGAGAATACAGCTAATGAGTGATAAAACTATAACCAAGGTCCAAACAGAAAAATCATGCTCTTTCCATTAAACTATGCTGAGGCATACATGAGAAAAAACTTTTGATTCTGCTTTCTAACATTATTTTACTACATTTAGCCACTATGCAAAAAAGAATCTTAATCAAGTCTCCAGCTCAATTATTCAATGTAATTCCAGGGTTTTAGTAGTATTGATAAAGTCTAAGGCCATCTTATAATTGAAGTTGGGCTGGCATATAAGTATCATATCAGTGAGTACTCACCACTCCTTAACGATCAAGTCTATTCACAACTTCTCGAACCGTAGCTATGAAGTTTTCATTGTCTTGGGGATTAGCTAAAATAATACTGTGCAGTCTGTTCATATATGAGTCAATGGTGTCCAGTGTAGGGGTCTCTCCACTTCCTGAAGCGAGATAAGAAGAAAAAGTAAGAAAATCCTCCCCATTTGGTTTGACGATAACACAGTTAAGTGAATCCACAGTAAAAGAAATTATGACTCTAATGTGGTCTCCTCCACAGACAAAATTTTAATTTCAGAGCAGAGACTTTTACATCTCAAAGAAATGAAATCTACATATTCTAAATAAACAGATGGGTATATAATTGCTGTACAGTATGTATGATTAGCTGCATATAACAAAAAGTTAGAGACTCTCCCAGTTTTCTTCTGTGACTTACTTAAACATGAAAAAAATATATAAGAAATACTAGTGTTTGTTTTCTTCTTCCTCCCCCTTAAAACAAAATTACAAAGCAAGCAAATATACATAAGACAAGTGATCTAAATCAGGATTTACTATTCAGTTTCCACTGTTCTGAATATCAAATTAAACCTAATAGAAAGTAAATTATATCAAAATATAACTGGAACAAAATTTAAATGAGCAGAGAACCTGAGATTTTGGGTAATTGTAGCCAACAATGAGATTTTATTACATGACCCACAAAAAACCCTGAGGGTGAAAAACCCCTTTTTTTTACTGATTTCACTCTGTGGGGGGAGACTTCAGCCTCATCACACCAATACCAACATAAACACCACCTCCTGCTTTCTGAAGTGCTCAGTTAAGGATGGCATTACCAGGTAAGGGCATGCTGGCAAAGCTGCTGGTCAACACCTGCCGTAGGGTCTCCAGGTGCTGTTGTAAGACAGTGTTGCGGCTCCGCTCCTGGATCACATCCACCTCCAGCTTCTCCACTGCTGTGCGCATGCTCTCCACATGCTTCTGCAGCGCTGCATTTCTCTCTTCAAACTCCATGTTGGATTTGCGAAGCTGGCGAAGCTCTGCCTCCCGAGCTGAGGGCAATCCCCCCAAATACACACATAACACATGGAGGAATAGGAGTCTCTGAGGAGTCCCAATGACTTTTCCAAGGATGTTCTGCTTAGCTCTCTCTAATTAGCTACCCCACCTCATCTCCCTATTCTCATTATGGCCTTCCAAATTAGCAATTTCAGCAATGAAATGCCTGGCTCCCCAGAGATAATTTAATTCTTAAAACTGGTTATACTCTATACTAAAATTTGCAAGGAACAGTTGCAATTCCCAGTATTTCTGTTTGTTTTTTAAAACTATGCAATAAAAAGCCTGAGCGGTTTCACTGGGGAACAATGGGACAATGGGCAACCACAGCTTTGGGTTCCATCTTTCCTACAATGAGGTCAAATTTTGCTCTTAAGTATTTTATATTTGGGACACCATGTAGGTTTTCATTTGCACAAATGGCTCCAGGCTAATAGTTTGAATGCAACTAAATTAGCGACGTATATTTATTTGCTTTGGGCAGAGACTAAAGCAGTTTTGACAACACTGGCCTAGCTTTCCTTCACTGGTCTTTGAGTAGCTACCTTTACTAGAGAGTAAAATACAAGCAATTTTCTTCTTCCAGACTGGTCCAAGGATCTGGAATACTACTATCATTACTTTTGAGCAATGTATTCCTCCTGAGAATAAAATCCCCTGTCACAGACCTGAGGAACACAAAATGATACTTCAGTAATCACCTTTGCTGTGGTTCAGGAATTCCTCTGTAAATATAGGGATGTCAAAAACAGACCGTTCCTTTACCTCTGTTTCTTTCTGTAAATCAAGAGTAACAAAAACAGTTCTGGTCAAGATGGAAGAATATATAAACATTGTGCTTGCCTCCTCCCATGACCACATCAAAATTATAACTAAATTATAGAACAACCACCCTTGACGAGCTGAACAGAAGTCCTATAACTAAGGATATAAAGAGGAAGCCACATCAAACCTGGCAGGAGGGGCAAAGACACAGAACAGGCAGGTCCCCCATCCATGTGTGGCAGTTAAGAACTGGGAGAGATATCTCAGCTTCAGAGGTCCCCACCATGGATAGATGGGTCCCAGCCCCAACCTGGTACCCCAACCCAGGTCTCTAGTGTTGGGAAGAGAGGTCCCATAACTTCTGGGAGTGAAAACCAGCAGAGACTGTGGCTGAGTGAGATGGAGGTTGCTGGAGTCCCAGGGATTCCACTTAAAGAGCACACAAACAGACTTACACAGACTCATTTGCTGAGCTCCAGTGCTGGGACAGCAACTCGAAAAGCAGGGACCTACAGGGAGGAACTGAGTTGTCTCGCTCCGGGGCGAGGGCTTCAGGGGAAGCTTTCTCCCAGACAGATGTGCTGGAAGAGACCACTGTTCCTTTGCTGAGTCCTCCCCACACAGAGCCAGCAGGTGGGTGCCACTGTTCCTCTGCTGAGTCCTTCCCCACTTACTATACAGACACAGGCAAGCACCACATCATATGAGTTACAGAAGATGTAGAAAGTAAGAAAAGGTTAAAGAACCTGTTTCAAGAAATAATGGCAGAAAACTTCTCTAACCTGGTCAAGGAAAAAGTCACACAAGTTCAAGAGGCACAGAGGGTCCCAAGCAAAAAGAATCCAAAGAGGCCCATGCCCAGACACATCATAATTAAAATGCCAATAATTCAAGACAAAGAGAATCTTAAAAGCAGCAAGAGAAAAGCAATCTTTTACTTACAAAGGAGCTCCCATAAGGCTGTCAGCTGACTTCGCATCAGGCCAGAAGGGGATGGCATGAAGCATTCAAGGTAATGCAAAATAAGAATCTGAAACCAAGATTACTTTATCCAGCAAGGCTATCCTTCAAAATAGATGGTGAAATAAAGAGCATCCCTGACAAAAAAAAAAGGCTAAAGGAGTTTATCACCACCAACCCAGCAGTGCAGGAAATGTTAAAGGGACTGCTGTAATTCAAAGTAGAAATATATATATAGAGAAACATAGGCATAAAGAGTTAAAATGGCAATAGATGAGTATCTATCAATAATGTAAATGGATTAAATGCTCTAATAAAAAGACATAAGGTGGCTCAGTGGATAAAAAAACAAGATCCAAATATATGCTGTCTATAAGAGACTCACCTCAGAACAAAAGACTCATACAGCATGAAAGAGAAGGGAGGAAAAAATTTTTCCATGGAAATGGAAATGAAAAAAAAGGTGGGGTAGCAATACTCATATCTGACAAAATAGACTTCAAAATGAAGACCATATTGAGAGACAAAAAATGTCATTACATAAAACTAAAGGGATCGATCCAACAAGAGGATAAAACCTTGATAAACATATATGCACCCAATATAGGAGCACCAAAATACATAAAAAAAAAAATTCTGGAGGACTTTAGGGGAGAGATCAACAGAAATACAGTCATACTAGGGGATTTTAACCAACCACTGACTTCACTGGATGGATCTTCTAGACAAAAAATCAACAAGGAAACGGTGACCCTAAAGGACACACAAGATCAGATGGAGTTGACATTTACAGCACATTCCACTGCAAAGCTGCAGAACAGACATTCTTCTCAAGTGCACACAGGACATTCTCAAAGACAGACCACATGTCAGGAAACAAAACACATCTCTACAAGTTCAAGAAGAGTGAAATCATATCAAGCATCTTCTCGGAAAACAATGGCATGAAATTAGAAACCAACTACAATAAAAACACTAAAACACATTTAAAAACGTGGAGGCTAAATAGCAATTTATCAAACAAAGAATGGATTACTAGAGAGATTAAGGAAGGAAAAGACTTCCTGGAAACAAATGAAAATGAACACACAACAACCCCAAATCTATGAGACACAATGAAAGCAGTCATGAGAGGGGAAGTTCTTAGCACTACAGACCTTCCTCAGAAAACAAGAAAAACTTCTAATAAATTCTCTAACCCTACAACTTAAAGGCTTAGAAAGAGAACAACAAGAAAACCCAGAGTAAGTAGAACAAAAGAAATAATAAAGATCAGAGCAGAAAAAAATGACACAGAGACTAAAAAAACAATAAAAATGATCAATGAAACAAAGAGCTGGTTTTTTAAAAAAGATAAACAAGATTGATGAACCATCAGCCAAACACATCAAGAAACAGAGAGGACCCAAATAAACAAAATTAGAAATGAAAGAGGTGAAGTAACAACTGATCCAACAGAAATACAAAGGACTGTAAGAAAATACTATGAACAACTATATGCCACCAAGCTGGATGACATGGATAAATTCTTAGAAAAATACAACCTTCCAGATCTCACTTATGAAGAGTCACAAAACCTGAATAGGCTGATAACTACTAATGAAGCTAAAGCAGTAATCAAAAAACTTCCAGCACACAAAAGCCCTGGTCCGGACTGCTTCACAGGGGAGTTTTACAAAACATTCAAAGAAGAACAGCTATCCTCCTCAAACTATTCCAAAAAAACCAAGAGGAAGGAATAATTCCAAGCTCATTTTATGAGGACAGCATTATCCTAATTCCAAAACCAGATAAAAACACTACAAAGGAAGTGAATTACAGGCCAATATCCCTGATGAAAATAGATGCTAAAATCCTCAACAAAATATTAGCAAATAGGATCCAGCAATATATTAAAAAGATCATACACCATGACCAAGTGGGATTTAGTCCAGGGATAGAAGGCTGGTAAAATGGTCAGAAATCAATAAATGTGATACATCATATAAACTGAAAAACAAAAATCACATGATCATATCAATAGACACAAAAAAAGCATGTGACAAAATCCAACACACTTTTTTTTTTGTTTTGTTTTTAATCCTCACCCAAGGATATTTTTTCTTTGCTTTTCAGAGAAGAGTGGAAGGGAGAGAAAGAGAGAAACATCGATGTGAGAGAGAGACATTGATTGGCTGCCTTCCACATGTGCCCTGACCAGAGCCAGGGATCAAGCCTGCAACTGAGGTCAGTACCTTTGGCAGCAATTGAACCTGGGACCCTTTAGTCTGCAGGCTGATGCTCTATCCACTGAGCTAAAGCAGCTAGTGCCCAACACTCATTTTTGATAAAAACTCTCAATAAAGTGCGAATAGAGGGATCGTAACATAATAAAGGACATATATGACAAGCCTACTGCTAACATCACACTCAATGGGCAAAAATTAAGAGCATTTCCCCTAAAAACAGGAGTGTCCACTTTCACCACTCCTATTCAACACAGTACTGCAAGTCCCAGCAACAGCAATCAGACAAGAAGAAAACATAAAAGGCATACAAATTGGAAAGGAGGAAGAAAAACTGTCGTTATTTGCAGATGACATGATATTGTACATAGAAAATCCTAAAGCCTCCACCAATAAAACTACTAGACTTAACAAATGAATCTGGTAATGTTGCAGGATACAAAATTAACACCTAGAAATCGATGCCATTTTTATACACCAATAATGTATTCTCAGAAAGAGAAACTAAAAAAAAAAAAAATTCCATTTATCACTGCAACAAAAAAATTAAGATAATTAGGAATAAATTTAACCAAGGAGGTAAAAGACCTGTACTTGGAAAACTACAAGATGTTGCAAAAAGAGATAGGAGAAGATATAAACAAGTGGAAGAATATACTGTGTTAATGGGTTGGGAGAATTAACATCATTAAAATGTCCATACTACCCAAAGCAATCTACAGGTTCAATGCAATCCTTATTAAAATACCAATAGCATATTTCACAGATCTAGAACAAACACTTTAAAAATTTATATAGAAACAAAAAAGACCCTGAATAGCCATGGCAATCTTGAGAAAGAAGAACAAAGTTGGAGGGATCACAATACCAGATATCAAGTTATACTACAAAGCAACTGTAATCAAAACAGCTTATTCCTGGCAGAAGAACAGGCATATAGATCAATGGAACAGAACAGAGAACCCAGAAATTGACCCAAGCCATTATGCTTATTTAATATTTGACAAAAAAGGCAAAAACATAAACTGGAGTAAAGACAGTCTCTTCAATAAATGGTGGTGGGAAAATTGGACAGATACATGCTAAAAAGTAAAGCTAGACCACCAACTTACACCATACACAAAAATAAACTCAAAATGGATAAAAGACTTAAATGTAAGAAATGAAGCCATAAAAATCCTAGAAGAAAACATAGGTAGCAAAATCTCAGACATCTCTTGCAGCAATATGTTTGCCAATACATCTCCTAGGGCAAGAGAAACAAAGGAAAAAATAACCAACGGGACCACATCAAATTAAAAAGCTTCTGCACAGCAAAAGAAACCATCAACAAAACGAAAAGGGAGCCCACTGTATGGGAGAACATATTTTACCAATGACACATCTGATAAAAGGGTTAATATCCAAAATTATATAAGGACTCATACAACTTAACAAAAGGAAGACAAACAATCTAATTAAAAAATGGGGAAAAGGACCTAAATAGACACTTCTCCAAAGAGGACATACAGATGGCCAAGAGACATGAAAAAATGTTCAGAGTCACTAATCATCAGAGAGATGCAAATTAAAACCACAATGAGGTATCACTTTACACCTGGCAGAACGGCTACAATCAACAAATCAATGAACAGCAAGTGCTGGCAAGGGTGCAGAGAAAAGGGAACCCTAGTACATTGCTGGTGGAAATGCAGACTGGTGCAGCCACTATGGAAAACAGTGTGGAGTTTCCTCAAAAAATTAAAAATGCAACTGCCATCTGACCCAGTGATCCCACATCTAGGAATATATCCAAAGAAATCTGAAACAGCAAACAGAAAGAATTTA